GCGCCACGCACCCAGAGCGCAGGCGGCCACTTCGCCATGCTTCCGGGGCCGGCACTCACCGTGCGCCATGCGCCCGAGGCCGGCTCTGGCACAGCACATGCGCCATGTGTCCAGGGCCAGGCTAGCTTCGAGCACTTGGCGGGCGCACACAAATGCCCCCACGAGCGCCATGGCGCCCATGGGCGCCGTGTTGGGAACCACTGCTCTATTGCATCTCAATTTAGTAAAATTCCTTAACCAAAGACCTATTTTATCTAGTTACTCATTTGATCCTCAGGACAAATATTCGAAAGCCATACTAGGTGTTAACAGGTATCATATGACCCTGCCCTGAGAATAAGGATTGTGTACTGGTAGCTTCCTAGTTTTGAAAGCTTAGAGATGCTGCTATAGTCTTACTAATGTATTTGTATTACTTCCATCCTCCCCCATCAACATTCTCCTCTTTTCTACATCTGCTTACAGTGAAAAGCAAGCACAGAATCAATTGGAGTCAAAGAAAAAGGCAACCACTGAAATTCTTCAACCCATATCTTTCCATATCTATGCCAATGTGAAGGTTTTTTGAGGAAGGTTATATCAATATAGAACAATATCTCCCTACAAGTTCTAATTTAAGATTCCCATCAATAGTGAAAGCAACGGAAGAATTATCCCATCATCATCATCTTTTTGAACAACAACATTGTAACTGTCTAGCTAATAAGAATAATGTTGCTTAATAGAAACATACCCCATCGCTCTTAGGTCATGGGTTCCCAAACGACCCCCCCAGTCAATCCCTTGCTATTTTTGTTTTTTGGCCCTCGTCAGTCCCTTTTTTTTCTTGCTCAACAAGTTTTGCTGCGGGGGGGGGGAGCCAGAAAAGAAGGGTTTCTAAAAAAAAAAAAAAAAAATCAAAAAGAGGGCGTGATGCCAAAAAGTTTGGGAACCACTGTCTTAGGTGGTACCAGACTCGGAAGTGATCTCATTTCTGAATTAAGAGAATGGGGTTACCTTGAGTGTTTTGTCTTAGAACACCACTGTGAAACACATTGCTCTTCATCACATCTTGCTTCACAAGTTCAGTTTCAAGACAGGGGGCCTTACGGCCTGAAACAAAAAGGTACAATGATGCAAATAGTCAAAACAGCTCCTTATATATGCAATACTGTATAATCAAAATGCATATTCAAACAAATAGCAGTTGTGAAAGCATTAAATAGGCATGTGGAGAAAAGTTATTATGAATGATCTGAATTAAGGCAAAGAAGTGTGCCAAACAAAGCATCAAGAGTTAATGCAGATGTAGCAGCATTAATTCATCCTTCTGCATTAGAGGGTGAGAAAAGTCAACAGAAAAAGATGGTCTTTGTTCTATAGTCTAGGATTTTAGTTCAGCATCACTATTCTACAATGATTTTGTTTTAAGTTAGCAGACAGTCAATATATTCAGAGGCAGTCCTCAACAATACTTAACACATTCATAGTTCTTTCAACTTGAGGATATCAAAGTGCTTTACTATATAACCAGTGGCAACTCAAACTCACTGCCCAGAGTTACAATTGAGACAAAAACCTTAGCTAGATTAAAAAAGGGTATTGGCCATTTATATGTGAAAATATTGAGTGTTGTCATAGTAATTGCTAAAAACCCAGTACTTTGAAATGGATGTGTAAGTATTTATACTTTTGCTATTGTACTTTCTTCTAAAGTACAATAAGTTTCTTGTACTTTTCTAAAGTAGCTGGTACTGGTAGTTGTTGGGAGACAGGATACTGGACTAGATAGACAAATGCTCTGATTCAGTTGTTCCTATGAAGATTAGTTTGGCCGTTGGCATGTTTGAGCGTTATCATTTCCTAGCATTAACCTGACTCTCACTCTACCATGCATGCATTACTTCACTTCACACCCCCATATTCAATTCTTTGCCTTCCCAGCTTCAAATTGCCTTTTCAAGCATTCATTACTTATCTGCATCATTTGAAAGTGTTTCTTTTTAAGAGATAGGTGAGCTATTATCCCCCCCTTTTGGCAGACTTTTACCATACTAACAACCTTCCAAAAGAGACAAAGGTTTAGTCATTGTTCAGGACCTGATCCTGCAAACCTTGCTCACAAAGAGTCCAATGAATACAGGTTGAACCTCTATAGTCTGGCATCCTCGGGACCTAACCGACACTGAAACAAAGAACTTGCCAAACCATGAGAAATTTGCCTAGCAGCATAATGAACACTTCTACTGCTTACTGCGCTCTTAGACATTTAGGGGTAAATTAGAATTAACAGCACAGAGAATCAGGACCGGTGACTATAAGTAAACTTTATGGGGCCATGGGAAACTTGGCCACAACCATGGTAAGTGGACATCCAGCTAACTAAAATCATGCTAGACCACAGATGTTGTGGGCCGGAATGCCAGACTGGAGAGGTTTAACCTGTAATTTCACTTTATTTCATTGGAGAGAATCTTGCACAGTGAGGTGTCTCAGGGTATGTCTATACAGCAGTGTTATTTCGGAAGAATGTAACAAAGAGCGTGTCTATACAGCAAGCCATTATTTTGAAATAATGTCAAGCTGGAGGACTTCTTACTCTGACTCCTGTAACCTTATTTCACAAGGAACAGTGTTCTTTCTTCAACTTCCTGCTGTGTAGACAGCACCAAAAATTGAATTAAGCTGTTTCAACTTCAGCTACGCAATTGACATAGGTGAAGTTGCGTAGCTTAATTCAACTTTTGCTCTGACTTGTGCTCTCAAAGTCAGGTCCTCCAATAGTCACATACTCTTCCTGTGTTCAGCAACTGAAACAAATAATTTTATTAAATGGTATTTAATCCCCCAAAATCCATGTAGAAGTAGTAATTGTGTAAAAAGACTTTCAAATCCTTCAATGGAGAGTAAATAAATAGAATACATACTTCCTTTCCTTTTTGAAAGGAAAGATCAGGGCATTGAATGACAAGTGGTAGTAATTCAAAAAAATTGAGACAGACACAGATATGTTAAATAAGGTAACTATTCAAGAACTTGCTTTTGTTGGCAAGAAACAGAAAGTGTGTTTTTTTTAAAAAGCTAAAACACCTAGACCAGAAAACAGTCACTTCTATTTTGAAATGCATGTATTCATATTGCATAGAACTATTACTGCAAACAGAAGTTTCATAGTTGACATGGTCCAGAGACTGTACATGAGGGTTAAAGCAAAATATCAGCTATAGGGTATTAATACAAGTAACTGCAAAGGAGAAGAGAGTGTAAAGCAAGAGCATAGTGCTGTGGTAACTGAAGGCAAACCCTACTAACTGTTCAGACACACACAAGACAGGACAAACACAAGCGAAAACAATAAATTCAAAGTTTTACATCTAGCTACATTTTGGATATTATAAAAACAGCACCTTACCCTCCTTGTTGAAAGAGGTCTCAGCAGGCAGGTTTGCCGCAGAACACACTTTAACACACATGTCAATCTTCTTAGACTGGAAGAACATCCTTTCAATTTTGCAGTTCCCGAGAGATGCTTCTTAGGGCTAAAAGATTAGATCAAAAGCTTGGATAAAGTACTATTTTCACTGTGCTCTTTTTTGAATGTTAAGAAGCATCAGACTTTTTTTAAAAATACACATTTAAAAGTATCCAATAATTCTGATGTGTCAAAGATACTGCATTACACACTAATTACTCCAAGAACAACATTCACATTCACATTTTGAAATGTTTAACAGCTTTGTGAAATAACTTCTATGATCTCATAAACACACATATATACTACCTTTTCACCAGTATCTGCAGTATTGTTAGTACCACATTTACACTTGAATCACTTAACTAGCTAGGATATGATCCATCTGAAAATAAACATAGCTTTTCAGGCCATGCAAAATGCAGATGTTGGCTGCACAAGTCAAACTTATTTGGTGGGGGAAAGGGTCAGCTTACTGCAGGTCAACAAGGAAAAAAAATTTTAAACAGGCACAGTGGAGCAGGAGAGCATCTTTTTCTGTGCTTCTGGCTATGGAACCACTGTCTCAATGTTTGTGCTGTATGGGCGCACAGCATTCAAATTAGAGTATCTACTCAATCAGTTCCAAGAAGTAAAACATTTGGCTACTGGTCCAGCCCTCAATTTAACAAAAAAATCAACCCAACCAACAACTTCAAAAACCCAGTCTACAAGTATCTGTGACTAGTGACAAGTGGGGCAGAACAAATAAAACAAAAAACAAACCCCCCAAAAAGAGGAACAGGACACCACGCTAGGTGAAAGCAGCAAGGAGTCCTGTGGCACCATATAGACTAACCAAAGCATTGGAGCATAAGCTTTTATGGGCAGATTCAGACTAACACAGCTACCCCCTGATACTCAACACCATGATATACAAGTATAAGTATATGCTAATCTATAAAGGTGCTACAGAACTACTCATTGTTCCATACATGAAATAATTCACATTTGAATTTTCTGTATTCCAAATCTATTTGGTACCTGGCATTTGTAATTGATGGAGTAACAGGCTTAGTTCTTTCACAGTTCTCAAGTTTTGCTCTCAATTCATTCATTTCAGCATCTTTAAACTGCAACTCTGACTGCAATGACTGTAACTGAAAAAGGGATGCAAGTGAGGAATTTTGCACTAAACTGGAAGAGTAACATAGAAATAGAGGGTTGGCAGGAAGATCGACATCATCTGGTCCATTCCACCTCCTGCCTCCCTCCTTCCCATGGCTGTGGCAGAATTAAATATACTTATTTAAACTCCTGTCAGGATGATCTATGTTCTTAAATATCTTCAATAATTGGGACATCCAGTGTAAATTTGTTAACCTTTGGTCCATGACTTGAACTCAGATCAGGAATAATCATTTTAACTTAGAAAGAGTTAAAATGTTTCCTAAATTAGTGTATATAAAAACTAACACTAATGGTGCAGGACCATTCATTTAAGTTTTAACACTAATACAGATAGGAGAATAAGCAAAGAAACAAATGTTTCAAAAATGGGCTTAGCAATAACTCCAATTCCTGTTTAGCCTGACCCATACTGGTAGCAGCAGTTAGCATAAGGTCAGATTTGGAATAATAAAGGTTCACATTGATAAGTGGTCTTGGTGAGAATATTTAACAATATATATTGTGGATAAACTGCCTAGAGACCAAAAAGGTTTTATTTAGCCAGGCTTCTTTAGCCAAACTGCATACAGAGCTTTCTACCGGGGCAAATATTTACAATAGCGGTCTCAAAAATTACTAACATGAATGGCAAAACACACAAACCCAAACTACCTTTTTGGAGAACTCCTTTTCTTTTTCACTTAGTATCTGCTCTTTTTCCTTTTCCAGCAGAATGTATGATTTTCTCTGTTCTTCCATAGTGCACTCCATCTGCAGCATTGAATCCCGCAAAATTTTAATTTCTCCATTTTTTACAAGGATTTCATCCTGTATTTCTTTCAGCTGTAAACAGAACATGCCTTTAACAAAGTGTGGATTTATATCACTGACACTATGAATTCAATACAGCCAAAAACAGAAGTCACAATTTGGCCAAGAGCTCTTCGCCCAAGGAGTAAGCTGACTTGTTTGTTAAACAGACTGGCCATCTACAGATCCAGATATCAAAAAACCCAGGTGATTAAAGATACCTTCAGCTGGACCTAAGCCAAAAGTCAACTAAAACAGCCACAAAAAATGGACATAGCAAGTCGTACACCAAGAGAATTGTGGGGCGGGGGAAAAGGGGGGAGATAAAATTAACCTTTTGCTTAACTTCTTCGTGTTGTACTTGCAGTACTTCAAATCCAAATGTGTCTTTAACTCTAATATCTTCAGTGCCATTTCCTGGTGAAAACAGGAAACAGATATTAAGTCCACTTTGAAACGTAAGAAGTTAATCATATTTCAAATATTATTCATCATATATTTATACTTATAATAATATTTTATTTGAAATATTATTCATCATATATTTATACTTACAAATAAAATATTATTATAAACGTCAGTAAATATCACTTTCACCATACACATGCAAACCAATGAATATATTTGCAAAAATCAGGATATAGACAGGGAAAGGGAAAAAATGTTTGGGAACTGAGTTTGATTTAAGCATATCAAGTTTTTAATAGTTTGACAGGTGATGTTGACAGTTTGTGTTTTAACCGTTATAAGGGTTTAATTACTGAAATGTCGTCATCTACTATCATTAAATAATTGTCTGACCTCATACCTAAGTTTTAACAATTGTGGGAAACCATAACAGATTTTAAAGCATTTCTTCAATTTTTATCAATGCTGTTTAAAGGTATACAACAAATTAAAAACGGAGTATTAATATTTTTGCATGGGGATGTAAAATCTTGTTTAATTGGTTAACTGGTTAAAAGTAGTTTTTCACTAGCTAATGGGGGGCAGACAAGGGCTGCCCCCTCCCGAGCCTGGGGAGGGGACCAGTGGAACTGGAGCAGCCTTCTGCCTGTGGCCGGGAGAGGGGCTGCTCCCGGGTACCAATTAAACACTGCGGCTATGTCTACTTTTTTGTAAAAGGGATGTAAATTAGACGTATCGCAATTGCTCATGAAGCAGGGATTTAAATATCTCCTGCTTCATTAGCATAAAAATGGCTGCCGCTTTTTTTTCTGCACGGAGCTTTGTTGGGAAAAATTGCCAGTCTAGACACGGATCTTTCGGAAAAATAAAGCCTTTTCCAAAAGATCCCTTATCTCTCTATGAAATAAGGGATCTTTTGGAAAAGGCTTTATTTTTCCGAAAGATCCGTGTCTAGACTGGCAATTTTTCCCAAAAATCTTGCGTGCAGAAAAAAAAGCGGCAGCCATTTTTATGCTAATGAAGCAGGAGATATTTAAATCCCTGCTTCATGAGCAATTGCGATACGTCTAATTTACATCCCTTTTACAAAAAAGGGATGTAGTCTAGACGTAGCCTGCATGAATAACAATTCAGTAGGCACTTCTATTTGTCTTAAGTTTGTAGAAGATTCTTTTCCTCTTATCCCATTTTCACACACACCACAGATTTTAAGCCAAATTTAAGGATGCGTCTACACAATACCCTAAACTCGAAATAAAATATGCAATTTGCGCTATGCAAATTGCATATCTTATTTCAAAATTTGGCTCATGTACACAGCACCAACTTTCAAAATAATGTGACATCTATTTTGAGACATCCCTTAACCCTCATGGATGCTGAAACAGCATGCCCATTATCTCAAAAACCACACGGAGATAATGAGACACGGAGTAGCTATTTCAAGATACCTCATGCAGCGCAGACGTACCTTAAAGTGTCCTTTAAGCACACACGTTATCACAGGTAAGCAAAAAGCTCAGAAAACCAAGTATTGTCAAATGCCCACCCAGCTAATTTTAAACTGGAATAAGTCTGAGCTCTGAATTTTAGAGTACAGACTGAACCTCTCTAGTTCAGCACCCTGGGGACCTTACCAGTGAGGAACCAGAGAAGTTGCCAAACAGGAGACCAATATTGTCTAGCAGCATTACCAACACTTTCACTGCTTACTGGGTTCTTATACATTTAGGAGTAAATTAGAGCACAGAGTCAGGACTGGCAGCTGTAAACAAACTTTAGGGGCCACAGGAAACTTGGCCACACTCATGGTAAGTGGACATCCAGCTAAATAAATCATGCCAGACCACAGATATTGCTAGACCAGTGAATGCCATAATAGAGAGATTCAACCTGTAGCTCCATGCACCACCACCGGATTTTGCCCACAAAACAGAAGCCTCAGAGTTAAGGATCTATTTAGCTTTTATAACTTCAAACATTGATCGGTTAAGGCTAGACTCCTAAAAAATTAAAACACATGCTCTTTTTTCCATTACAGCTTAATAGGATTCAATTGGTGGGCACTCATACTAGAGTACATTTTTAAAGGTGCTATATAACTATGCAAATAGCACCAATGAAATATAGCCACCAGACAAATGGCACATTCAGCATACTGTCTGGGAGGGGGGAAAATATCAGTAAGAGAGAATATTTTGGTCAGGACACAGGCAAACTTCTACTCACAAAAATGCTATGGGACCTTCCACATGCTGGCTGAAGAGTCAGGAATATTCTTATCTGAAAAACTTCAGACATAACAGAGTCACACAAAATTCAATTTACCTACTCTGAAAGGATTCAGAGCTCATTTAAACCTGGCTAGGATTTAAAAGGGATGTTCTAGGGAAGTGAGGTATTTTGTAATCAATGCTCAGACCACCAATAGATTCTCATTAATACAAAGGTTATAAAATAGTGGTGCACATAACAGATTTTTTTTTTTTTTTTTGGTGAAAACAAAAGTTACTGATCAGCATTTACAAGGAGTAGAGGATCCCACTCATTTAGAAGACTCAAGATAGTTATATGATATTATGAACAGGTCACCTTCCCTTCTCTCCTAAGGGGAAGTTTAAAAGTCACTTATAAGTATGACAGATATTACACAACCACATATGTAGCCTAGTAGTTAGAATTGATGTCTGGGAAGCCAGATCTCCTGCTTTCTAATTCCATTTCTGCCCACAGCTTGTCCTCAAGCAAGCTACTTCACTTCATTGTGCCTCAGTTTAATCATCTGCATGCGATTCAAAGGCATTGTGACACTAAGTTAAAGCTTGCTAATTAGTTTACATTCTTAAGATAAGGCACCACACACGTAAAAAAAGATAGATTACTGTCATTTCAAAGTATGATCTTTCCAAATGATCACTTTCATATACTTGGAGCACAACTTCTGGCTACTTCTTACTTAATGCTATTTTATGACACGTAGTTATACTATATGGCAAATTCTATAACTTGTTCTTTAAGACATGTTGTCAGATGTACATACCAACTCTGAATGTTGATGGTTAAGTTATCCAGAAGCTAAGATTTGCCTGATAATTAAAACATTTTTTCCAATAATCCTAGTAATTCAAGATAGCGTCAAGAACCTAAGTGAACATTTCAGCAACAATGAAATTTACTTTTGGGTTGAGCTTAGATAATCTAGTCAAAAAAGTTAATTATTTTATACATTTTTCTAGGAAGTTTAGCATTTCAAACCTCAGATCTGGAGCATAAGGAGGCACTAAGCCATTCAAATCCCCAGCTATACTCCCCTATTCCAGAATACACATACCGAACTGGTCTTTCCTTCTTTTTTCAGCACTAGAGGGAACACTCCATAGTTCAATATTCACAGACTTTTGATTAGCGTTACTCGGAGATAACAACGGTCTGGAATTCTGCTCGGGTTTCTGGATGCTATTTGAATCTAGATCTTGTGATAAAGCCTGTGAGGCAATTATGTCTATTTCTTCCAAGTCATCAGCTGTAAAGTCATCATTGTCTCCAAAATAATGTTCTGTTTGTTTGGACTTGGACTCAAAACCTTTGTAACGCTTGTTTGGTGGAAAGCCATCTCCGTGGTTCCCAATACATCCTCGACTAGTGGATTCTCGATAAACAGAAGATGAAGCCATACTCTGTGCCTGGTCCACACCATATAATATGGAGCTATTTCTCTTTTTATTCGCAAATAATGAGTTTATCGACATTGTGCAGAAAAATTTAACCTGTGAAACAAAATAAAGCATTTTAATCCTCAAAGAATCTTTTTCCAAATCAAATATATTCTACAAAATACAAACAATTGAACCTCTGAAGAAACATGTGCTAGCACACAATGATCAGGGTTCAAGAGTCTCTAATGCACTCCCTCACTAACTGACTGGAAAAGAGGACATGTGAACTCCAGAGCTTCCTATCTATTTCAAACGGGCTTTGGATCATTTAAATCAAAGCTTCGTGGTAACAGAAAAGAATGAAAGAAACAACTGTAGGTTTTTTTACAGCCATGAGAAAAACGTCATTCTACAGAATATTATTTAAGACCATAGAAATATAACAACAGGACTCCAAGAGGAGCAGATCTATGAATTGAAAGGGCAAAACGCTAGTGATGTTAGATAGCGTGTAACTGAATAGTCATGTTAAAACATCAAGTTTCAGCAGTTAAACAACTATTCAATAGTCTCCAGGGGTGGGACCAGCAGCCAGTGCGCTCGCGGCAGCCTACCCTGTCCTACTGCCACATACAGGCAGCAGTGGGGTGGGGGGGAAGGGCACAGGCAGCTCCGTGGAGCAGTGCTCAGGGGAAGCTGGCTCCTGCCTGCCCCAGAATGCCTGTAGTTGACAGGATTAACCAATAAGCCCAGGCTTATCAGTTAAATGTATAGTCGTTTACACGGTGACATCCCTACAAAATACCTTTTCAAAAACTGTTCTAGAGGAGGACAAAAAAGGAGATGTGCCCGTGTTCTTTCCATCCCTACATAAGAATACATGCCTTGAAATTATGTATTTCATGTTTTCCAAGAGAAGCACACATTATGATCTCAGATTCTAGGATCTCCTTGTTTAAGTCACACAAACCTAAAACTGTTAGAGTACACTTAAAAAGGGGAAAACATTTTTTGAAGTTGTATTAGAGTCTAGAGGACTGGTCACCAACCAGTAGATCGGGATCTACTGGTAGATCTTGGAGCCTGACAGGTGATCTTTACTGGTTTAGCCAAGAAGCTATCAGATGCTGGCACTTCAGCTGCCCCTCCTCCCACTGCCACGCACCTCTTGCCCTTGTTTCTCCCCCACCCCTTGCTGAGCAGGGCAGAGAAGGGGCACTGATGTCAGGGTGCCCCCACTCCCACCCTGTATTCTAACTCCACAGAATGGAGTGGGGGGGGGGGGCACAACAGGACTTGGGATGGGGTTTGCTGGCTGCTTTTGAGAGTGGTGCAGGGCCAGGGCAGGGGTGAACCTGCCTTAGCCTCACTGCATCACTTGTGAGTGTCCAACTGGAGCTTGCATCCTGAACCCGTCCCAGTCATAGACTCCCTCTTGCACGTCAAGCCCCTGCTCTAGCCCCAAGCCCTCCTAGACCCAAACTCCCTTACAGAGTCTGTACCCAGAACCACCTGCTGCACCCTCATCTCTGTGCCCCAGGCTCAGCTCAGAGCAACTTCAAATCACTTAACATTTCAAATCTCTCAAGCCAAGATCAGAGCCTGAACCCCAACCCTCTGCCTGTACCTGTTGAAAGGGAGGAAGGATGGAGGGAGGGAAGATGAAGTGGGCAGAGCCCTGGAGAAGGAGGCAGGGCAAGGGTATTTGGGTTTGAGATAGATCCTGGATTACACTTAAATTCAAAAAAGTAATCTTGTGCTTAAAAAGGCTGGAGATCACTGGTCTACAGCACTGTCAAAATTGCTAACATTTATAACAGCAAAAATTCTGATAACATCATTACAATTTTATTTTATTCCCTCTCGGTTAGAAAAGCAACAATGTGTTTATTACTCTGATCTTACAGATTACAAGACACCACAGATGCTTACTTTCTTGACAGTTGCCCCCTTTGAATTCAAGTACCCATACACCAGTGGCCACCAACTAGTTGAGTGCCATCAGCTTGTTGATCCTGGGGTCTCCCGGTTGATCACAATCTCTGGTAGTGGGACAGGGCAGCGGCAGCTAAGGCAGACCCATGCGGCAGATCCATTCCAGGAAGGAGCCAGCACCAGCCCCTGAACGGAGGGGGGAGGAGGAGAAAAGGGGAGGTGTGAGGGAGCAGGCGGCTCGCGAGGTTAAAGTGTTCCAGGGGGGTGGCCGCCTTAGTCCGGCTGCGGGGCAGGGAGGCGCACGGCTCCGCTCAGCTGGGCTACACAAAGCCCCGCGCGCAGGTAAAGCGCCACGCGGGGAGAAATCCACAAGCCACCGGTCAGCACACACGCGCCGCTTCTACTCGCGCCCAGGGCGCGGAGCAAACCCGGCCTCCGGCCGCCGCATGACCCGGCGGAGCCGCT